GCGGGCAAGCAGTCCTCTCCAGGCACAAGTGGCGAAGGGCACTTCGTCACATGGCTGTCCGATAGACAGCCACTAGAAGAGGACTTAACCCTGCAAGGTAATTATTGCAGTTTATGAAAACTGCAATATTTACAGTTCCAGGGTTAATGGTAGTGGGAGTTGGCACCCAGACCACTCCAATGGACAGATGTGGTCTGGGTGCCTGGAGTGTCCCTTTAAGTACACCTGAGCACTCAATCATGTTATATGTTGTGTTTGTCATTTTTAAAATAAATTCCTGTGAATTTGGTGAGTAGTATAGAAAAACTACTACTGGCAACTTGCACAGGAGATCTCATGCGCTGAGTGAAACTTTTACAGAATCTTGGTGGAATTGTTATGGCGATTAATCAATGTACGTCCAATTTGCAAAAAGGTAAACTGCGGGTGTTTAATTTTAGTATTAACCAAATCTAATGGCTGCTTTTTTACACCACGAAATGTAAGTGAAACTGTTGCACATTAAACTATCGGTATTGGTGCTTGGGACGCAGAAAGGGCTGTGACCAACACTCTGTATGCGTTACCATGTTGTGTTTCTGTTTGTTTGATTCTTTTTTTCCTGATTTGTTTGCGAAGGGTCGGCACTTTCTGTTTATTTAAGTTTTAATAATTACAGCTTTTTGATTGAAATTACAGCCCAGAGCGGCGAGCGATTATCGTGGCCTTATCAGGACATAGCGGTTGATTCCATTCTAGTTAGGACTTAGAATAGGCTTATCCTCCCAACCTGCTGTTACCATTTGATTGCGCCTATTTTCTGAGATAATGGCTGCTCTGAATTACCCTGCAATTAGGAAACCATGTCAGTAAATACACAGAAACCTTTAGTCTTTTTTACACAAGTTCTCTCCGCAGAAAAGTGCAACGCATCCTTACCCTGACCCTTTGGTTAACTCCTTAAGGGCCGCTGCAATAAGTATGCTGCCATATTCTTGTTTAGGCTGTCCTCAGAGTTTGGGAAGAATTTGGAACTGTGAAAGACTAAAGAATGGACAAAACCTAGATTTATTTCATTCAGCATTTTATGTGCCTTCATACAAATGAAAAATCATTTGTCACCCAAGTATTGTTGTTCCTGACATATAGAAAATAAAAACAATAGCGAATGCAGAAATTAAAAAAAACTACAAATCCCATCAGCAAGGCATTATTGTCACAGTATATATGTGGAGATTAACACAATTGATTTGAGCTCCTTGATAAGAGCGCTTTCTGCCTGCGCGTGTTGTTAGCGGATTCTCTTTTATCAGACTCGGGTTTGCAAGTTGCACTGAGAGATCTTCAAAGCCGTGTCTATATGGATTATTGATATACTGCTAGAGCAATCAGAACCCAGGTCACATGCAACATGGAGACCTGTCACTTTATTAAGTGCCCATATTTTGACCAAGAAAAAACACTGCTTCTCGCTTTCATTCTCGCTGTCATTTTCATTCCTTCCCCGGCAACAAACAGCGGATAGCAGAGTTAGGGTTTTGTACTAAACAAATACGTCCCCTCTTTGGGCATGTAGTGCTCCTCGGTCTGTAGGAACCTCCCTGAGGATCCCAGTTACAGATGTCAGTGTGTCAGACTAACCGGCTGCGTTCCTGGGTAACGTTGCTTTAGTGCGACGTGTATATAAATAAAGGTATTTAAAAACCAGAAAGAAAAGGTTATTTTAACCTTGTAATACCAATAGTGAGAAATAGCGGCATGCAAGTAGGATTTGGCAGGTGGCCCCACTAACCGCTGATTATACTATAAGGGAATCAGGAGAGGCTGTTAGTGGCGACTCTCTCTCCCAGCAATAAGGGACACTTGTATTCCAATGAAGGATCCCCAGAATTAGTTACAATCGTAACTGCAGGGGAATGTAAGTAAGTGTCAGCGACCGGCTCACTCTGCGTGCTTTGTATTGACATAGAAAGGGTTAAAGATAGCATGTATCAAAAATGTTATACCATTTGTTTTAAATACAATTTTTTTGTGTGTGCACTTTCTGATGTAATGGAAAAAAGCACTTTATTCTTGTCTTAAGGAAAGTCCAAAATACATGGAATATCTGCAAGACAGTTCTTAATGACATCAATTAATTAATCCTTTAGCCACAGTTTTTGATCCAGATTTTATCCCACCAACAGATTTTTGAATCCTGTGGCCGTATTCATCAAGACTGTGACAGCAAACCTTGCAATGTGCGTGTTTGTGGACTGCATCTCCCATCATGCTGTGCAGGCAAGCCTGGCTAAGCGTAATGAGAAATGAATTTCACAGTCATCTGCATTACTGGCTGAGCATTGTGAG